TCTCCAAGTAGAATAGAGGTGATGGGATGCTTGAAATTGGGATGCTGGAGGGTGTTCTCTTACAGTGATGAAGTATGACCATGGGAACTGACTGGAGGGAAAGATTTTTGAAAGTGAGCAGGTCATTGAACTGAGTGGGCTGGTATTTTGTGGCCATCTACATTGATAATTAAACCTTCCAGAAAGATGACAGGAGTATCATCCTAAAATTTTCAGTAAATGAGAACAAATGTCCTAGAGGTTGATGATCTCATGGTCTGGTGACATATGCTTCAAAGGACAGAGGACACAAGATCTGGAAGCAGCAATGGAGAGCATGGAGGAAATTCACACCATATGGTCCATATTGTATGATAGGATAAAAAAGGCCACAGCTTGAGGGAATGGCAAAGGAAGTCCCGGTTTCAATTAGAAAAAGGAGATGAAGGGACATTCCATGAAGGGTTAGGATAAAGGTGAGTTGGTAGATGGCAGTGTCTGAATTCTGGAGGGCACAGGGGTTTGGAGAGCCCAGGAAGGGAAAAAGACTGGGCAGGATTAGGCCAGGCTCACTGCCACATGAGCACAGCCCAAGGACACGGTGGGATTGCTCCCATGGTCTCTGGTTCTCTTACACTGTCAGCTTCTCAGGACTGATCTCTCAGTTTGTGGAGGTGAGGTGAGTGGTATCGAGGCTCAGGGTAATCATATTTTTGAAAGCATGAGTGGCCCTGGAGGCTTCCTTTATAAACTTCTATGAGTGATGTCACAGCTGGGAAAGGGGCAGGTCTTTCTGGAGCAGATGGATCTATGTAGACTTCTTTTAAATCCTGCTACTAGAGAAGTCACTGTATATGGAAGGTGCAGAGGAGCAAGGGAAGCCTGGACACTGTCTGAGATCTTATGAAGGTCTCAACAGAGGCTGTGACCATGATAATCCATAGGGCAGACACAAGACGGTGTTAGAGACCATTTGTGGACCCAGCATGCCCTGGAGTTGTTCTCCCATTATGAAGTTCTCTTCTTGACCACAGGGCTCATTCTCAAGTGGTAGTCAAGGCCAGAATGCAGCCTGTAATTGTAACCTTGAACTTAAGTCCATAGTTGAAGGAATTTCAAGATTCTGATATGTGTCTCAAGCTGCTGTCAGGGAAATGTGCATTGTCATTGTCACAGAGCACTCTGTTCTCATGCTCCCCAAGTATATCTACTTCCCAACTAAATGAACAATGTAATCTCAAGACAACAGAATTTATCCACAAACTAAGAGCATCAAATTTATCTTCTATGAGAAAAACTATCGCTTTAATTAGTGATTATTTCTTTACTTGATTAATTAGTGATTTATCTCCTTTAGTTGATAGTTCTTGACAGGATAATGACAAAGGCAACATAGAGAAGGAAAAAGAAAGAAAACCGACCAATATGAATGTTGACTGTTGTGTATTTTTCATTAAATTTTCCCAACAACCCTATGAAGTGGTTATTTCATACCCATTACAGAGATAGGGAAACAACTCATCAGAGACATTTGAAAATTTCCCCAAAATGTCAGAAAGCAGCAAAGTTAAGATTAAAATCCAGAGATATCTGACTTGAAACTCTTTAACCACATAAGGACCAAGAATGCTGGTTAAGCCTGTTGGATGGTCCTTTCGCAAGTAACCAAGCAATCAACTCATAGTTACAGATTATTTGCCCAGGTTAAGTGCTGCACTGGAATCTATGGGGAACACAGAGATAAACAAAACAGAGTCCCCATTATCCCAGTATGAACTTTTTTGGCAAGACAGCCCCTTTAAATAGAGGTGCAAAAAATTAACCCCAGAGGTAAGGAATGTAATCATTGTCACTACTTTAAGTATTAAAAGTATCAAGTTCTGTGATTTCACTGTTGGCTGAAGGCTTTGCAGGAAAAGGAGCACGTATGGTTGAATTTGTTCAAGTTAAAGAAAATGTGAAATAGAATCAATGTAACAAAGCCAATTTTTTCTCATTCTGGTTATTTTTAAAACTGTGAAACCTTGATAACATTTTTCTACATTTTTTTTCTTTTTGAATACGTTGGGATTTTTGTGTTTTGCTTTGTTTTGTTTTTATAAAATTGAGTTCTTGGTATATATACAGTTTTGCTTTTTTTTTTTTAATGAAACATGATAATCTCAGAAATTCCCCGCATTACTGGGAGTTCTCCGTACACATAAGGATTACTGACAGCATAGTAATCGGAATAGAAGGATCTGAAGAGAGAGGAAGTACTCGGTTCCTCAGGCACGATCCAGGATGAGGATTCCACTTCAGGCCAAGTCAAAGTTGGCAAGAATTGGGCTCCAAATGGTCCTGGGGACAGAGGGGTTAACTAGAGATGCCAGCAGAGGTCACATGCCATAACTTCTGCTCTGTCTATCCACTGGGCAATTCAGGGCTGCCACCTGATCTGTGTTCCTTTCCAGGGGGCTGCTCTGGAGGTCAAGTGAATGGATGCCAGAGGAAGGTCATTCAAGCATCAGAGAATCCACTTCCAGAAGCAGATTTGTTTACTAACTGGGAAAGAATCCACTAAAACACAGGGAACAAGAGTTTTTCTTTACAAACTGGTCCCTGACCCTTGCCTTTCGCAAGGGTTCTCACTTTCTTTGGCAGGATTTTTCCTGCTCTCTGGCCAGTATGAGTGCACTGGCAGAGAGCACATCCTCACTGGTTGTGTAAGGCTGGTGGCTGAGGTCTAACATGCCATGATAGAATGCAAGTTTGGGATATACAAATAAAGCAGCACTAAAAGCATAGTGATTTTTACAGTGTTATATTTAAAAAAACAATTAGCTAGATTAAAATTTGACATGGTACAGAAGCAGCAACTTGAGTTCTGTCAGGTGCTTGATAGCCCCTGTTCTCTCTATGGTGCAAAACCCACTGTATGAAATAGAAACTCACTTTCAGCTGAGGTCAGTGAAGGAGTGAGATTATTTGGGGGATCTTACTTTCTGTAATTCATTCTTTCCTTTGCACCTTTTGATTCTTCATTGCATTTAATATTTCATGGATGTTGTTAAGCTTGATTTTAGAGTTTTTCCCCCTTGAGAAATTTTGCACTGCCAAAATTGATGCTCTGATTATCATTCACGCTCACAAGATGCAAAGCACTGCCAAAGAGTTTTTTTTTACTTGAAAGACCCAAAACCTATGTAAAATTAAATCACTAAAATTTCAGTGCAATTCCTAAAGGCTATTTCGTCTAGCGTTATAAATTCTAGTATACTACACAATTATCTAAAGGTTAGAAATATAGTCTAATCTGTGTTATTTTTGTCTTCTGTGATCATCAAAATTTTTATAGTTTTTATAATTTGCTACCAGAGGATATTCCCCAAATTAACTTTCTAAAGTTAAGTGGCTAAACTGCTTACTGTTAATATAGATATTAACTGTGTACATTTTGCCTTAATTTTTAACTAATTGAAATTTCTTAGCTTTTGCTTTTTTAAGAAAAACTGTCATCACAATTATCATTGATTTTTGCAATAATTTACAAGTGCAAAAATAAATGTATATTTATACTTCAGCTGCATGATAGAATTTGAATATATAAAGCACATAAAGAAACAGTCACTGCCAATTGCATCTAGAATGCTCACCTATACTTGCAAGAGAATATTCAGATGTTTACAATAAATTCGAATGGTTTGCCTTTTTCAAGCACTAGAAATGATGTGTAATCGGTGATTATGCATAAGCCTGGAATGCTAGAAATGCTGCTGAGGGAGGTGTTTGGCTATTTGGCCACTTCTTTAAACTTGAAGAAAAAATGAATATAAATTCTAGTATGTGCCATAGAAAGAATTTAATCAGAAAACGTAGATTTAAACCCTAGCTTTGCTGTTTTAGTTTTGTACACGTTGCTTTAACACCTACTATGTGCCAAAAATTCGGTCAAATACTAGAAACACATAAATAAGTAAGACAATAGCCATGGCTCTCAAGGTGCTTATCGTCTGTGAAAATTGTTCAATTGTTAACTTAAATTGTTCAGTTTCCACAGCTGCTCTAAGCTTCTGGTCAAGCAATCAGTTGAAGATTTTAAGGTAAATACATATCAAGTTGAAAAATATATTTACACTATAAAAATTGCCTCATATTTCAGTCCAATAGGATGTTAATAAAGCTCAAATGAGATAATGGGGACAGCCAATTTTCTTGTTTCAGGTGCACAATATATTCATTAATATTCTAATTGTCCCAATCACCTCGCAGGGTAGATAGTACAGCTGTGGGAACATGCGTGGAGTCCAAGCACAGACTGGGTTTGAATCCCAGCTAGCTGTTTGGCTTTGGGCATACAACTTAACCACTTTGCCCTTCAATTTAGTATAAAATTGTGGCAGTTATATTACTTCCTTCATTGGCAATTAAATTAAATAACGGATGTAGAATTCACCATAGAATCTTGCACATAGAAATACCCCACTGAGGTTAACAGTTACTAAATTTCAGTGCAATGTATCCCCGATTTAAAAATAAGAGAATGCATAGAGGTTATATAATTTACATAAGGCCATACAATAAGATGCAGAGATGGAACTCAGACAGGCTGATCTGTCTCCAAAGCCCTCATTTTCCCCAACATTTGGGGTCTCTAAAAATATTTTTATAGATGTAACTGCTGGATAAATTTGAAGCATATTTCTTGGATGCGACCTCAAGTCCAATTTCTTTGCTCTCCATCTGCATCCGAGACCACCAAATCGGATGCCTCAGAGTGTGGATATGGCCTGGTGGCTGGGGAGGCCAAGGTAGTCCCTGGTCTCCAGCTGCCTCTCCATTCAGAGGACAATCTCACCGAGGTGAGGCACGGGGCGTGGCTCGGGTGGGTGAGCCAGGCTCTTGCAGCACTGTGAGGCTGGATCACTCATTTGACTGGAAGCATCTGGCCTTCTCCCAGTCACTGAGAAAAGGAAAGCTGAGATCATTGTATCTAATTTGTTCATGTGTGTTTTAAGTTAGTTTGCAGAATTCCTCTTACAATGGCAGAAAGGTCACAAGGATCTGACAGCCCTCAAGAAGGCCAAGAAAAGAGCAAGCGAGAGATCCTGAGGTGCACCAAGAGGGCCTGGGCTCCTCTGGATGAGCAGCTGCCACCCGGCCCCGAGGAAAGACCGCCTCTCACCACCCCTGAGCTGGGTGAGAAGGGCCCTCAGGCTGTTTGAAAACTTCCTGTTGTGGGTGATGGCTGTGAGCAGATGATTTTGGAACAAGGACTTGGTTTCGCAAATACCAGTGTTCCTGGCGTGATGCCAGAAACTTCTATGAAATGGACACCCTGACTCCTCCCACAGACACTCAGAACACAGCCCCCCTCCACAGAAATAGACCATCTAGAGAATGGGCTCTGCTTCTTCCCTCCCCAACATCTCCTCACCCAAAGCCCTCAGGACTCTGAAGCTGTGTGGGGTCTTATGGCAGAGACATGAGACTTCTTTCAGGACATCACGCATTTTATTAAAAGGCTCTTATTTGTTGTGTCTTGCGTGATGCATTGATATTAATTTCAATAATTTAAAGAATAATATGTAAGTAAATACTGCTCCCTGCACCATGCTGTACTTGTTGCACGGTTTTTCTTCTTTTCCCATCACCCAACTTACTCTGTCCCTTTCCGGTACCTTAAATGAAGAACATTGAGCTCCTACTATGTCTACCTGCTCTTTTTGGTTCACTTGACACCTTGTGAGGGGTGTAATTTGGTTATCTCACTGTTTAGCAGGATAAAGTCAAAGAAAATCAGCCCAGAGTAGATGGTAGCCAACCCGAACGGAAACAGGAAATGCTACCTGTATATCTTCTCCTTTTTGCCTGTTGACTATTTGTTGAGCCAGTGGTAAAGATCCACCTTAAAAGACTAGTGTCTTTATAACACAGGGTGCCTTTGGCAATCCAGGGACTCTAGTGCAATTTGTCCCTGGAATGAATGCAAATTTGGTTTCTAACCTGGCAGAGAACTTCTTGCAAATAAACATGACTGGCTGGCTGCCTTAGGTAAATGTCCTGATTCAATAAGGAGAGGCTCTATGGTGATTTATATCCAGCAAAAGAAAGACAAAAGTCTCATGTGCCTTTTCACCCTGTGTATTCACACCAGGTAACTTAAAAATTATTCTAATGTCTCTTGCTCTTCAGTGATTTATTTTTCTTCTCTTTCATATTTTCTTTCTTTCTTTTTCTTTTTTTGTTTTAAGTTACAGTCTTTTGGCAAGGTTACACTACATTCCCAGGAAAGGCTGATTACGGAAAACAGGAGGTTTTGCCTTCAGGAAAAAAACTGAATGTGCTTATAGGAACATGTGACTAAATATGTAGGAAATAGAGCAATTGAATGGCGGCTGAATAATAGGGTAGAGTCATCGTAGCTGGTTGTGCTTTGACTAATGGTCTGTTTCTTTCTCATTTGTAGAAGATTCCAAACAAGATAGTATTTGGCAGTGGCTGGACTCTGGATTCTTGTAAGTGTTTCTTTGTGCCTTATCCATTTCTCTTGCAAAGATCCATGAAAACAATGTGGGTAAGCCTGCTTGGGCAAGGTGGAATGTGCAGGAATTTTCATTTTAATTGGGGACTTGAAGAATTACCCTATTATTGCAAAAGCTATCTATCAGTTTAAAAGTACAAAATAGAATACTGTTTTAGTCCCTGACTGTTCACTGGTTTCTAAAAGTCCTCTCTTAAAAAAACCGAACTCAGTATTTGCTCTCATTGGTTTAAGTAAAAAGCAATTTGGTGTAATTTATTTACACACATTGTTTGATTCACAATTCTTTTGTTTCTTTATAGTGTCTCTGTAAATGAAAACTTTCAGCAAGTCATCGACTACACTGGTAAGACAAGAGAATCCAGAAGCAGTTATGCTTTGTGGAGCTGAATTAAAATGTCTATGTGAATAAATATTAAAATGAGAATATCAGAGGCTCTTAGAAATGGAACAGACTCAAAATCCATCCAGCTCAATCCCTTTGTTTGCTATATAAGACTGAGAGTCGGAAGGGATAGGTGTTTACCCAGCAGCAGGTCTTAACCATATTATCAGACAGCTCAGACTATAGCAGAAAACTCGCTGGGTTCTTTAAAGATGTTTGCAAGGATATAAGTATGGAAGTGAAATTGTTTGATTTTTTTCTCATACTGTAATGTATTTTTATTTCTCAATCTAGTTTTGTTTCTATTCAGTCTCTCAAAATTACACTTGTATACTCTTTCCAATGGAGCATTTGTTCTCCAGAAGAACAACTCACTGACTGAATTCTAAAGCAAAATGTATGACACTTGTTTTCACTAACATTTGATAAGAACATTATTTAAAAACTAAATTGAATCACAGTTTCCACCTTTATTAAATGAAATTCCATATTTCATAGAATCTAAGACCCCTCAATTATAAAATGGATTCATATTTTAAGTAGCACTGAGAAAAAACAGAAAGAAACAAAACCTTGCAATTATAAATTCCACAAATGTAAAAACGTTAGAAAAGTATGTTTCCACAAATGTAAAAACGTTAGAAAAGTATGTTTTAAAATTGATGAAATGCCATAAAGAATGTGTGTAAAAAAAATGACATAAATTATGAGTTTGATGATGAGGGAAATATTATTAGTCTAATAGTCACTTACTTTGCTGGTTTTAAGTATTTCACTTCCTCCACTTGACCATTGGCTTTAAACCAGTTTAAATTTAGGATTTGTTTACTTTAAAAAAAAAAAAAAACAACCTAGATATATCATTGAAATTTCCTCCTTCGCCAAGCTTCCTTACTTTCCTTTTTTATACACAAGTTCCACAATGCCAAAATCTCTAAAGATTTTTGCCAATAATTGAATTTGAGTTCCTCTCTGTTCATAGTAGTTCATACTCAAGAAAAAGCAAGAACTTAAGAAATAAAGCCAGCATTTCATATCCCCTGACATGCCTCTTGCCCTGGCACTGGTTTTGAGGTCTTTGGAAACTGTATTAAAAGCTTCGCTTCCCAGAAATTAAAGACAAATCATGGCCCTTCCTCCATGACCAAGTCGATGAGCTGCAAAGGCACAGATGTGAGGTGCAGGCCTGCAGGAGAAAAGACACGTCAGCATGGCTCTGAGATCAGAAATGCGGTTTCAGTTTGCCAGCTCCTTTATCTTTGAGGTTTTTAATAATAATGGAATAGCTTCTTACAAGTTTAACTGAGCCTTCACTTTTACAAGGCCCTTTCTCATCGATCATATTTTAAACTCACTAATCTGTGCGGTAGCATGGCTGATTCTCATTTTTGTTTGTGGGTGAGGAATCTGGGGCACAGAGTGGCCAAGGGCATGATTTTTGGTCACAGCTGGTTAGAGGTGGGTGGAGGGATAGGATGGGAGGCCCTGTTTTCTATTAGCCCTGCCGTGAGCTGGCTGCAGCCCTGGTGGGAGATGCCCCTGTGCTCAGGGAAGCTGCGAGCTGCACTGGAAGTGTGGACGCTGGAATAGGCTCAGTACCTGGTGACCTGAATGTCATGGCGAGGGTGGCAGGGAGAAAAACTGTGGGGCAACGAAAAGGAGCTGAGGAGGAGGAAGAAAAGTAGTCACTACTGGAGGAAACTGATCTTACTGGAGGAAAGAACCTGTCAAAACTCAAAATCCTAACAGTAGTGCATGAGTTTCCTAGGGCGGCTGTAATAAATGATTACAAACCTGGTGGCTTAAAACAACAGAAATTTATTCTCTCATGGTTGTGGAGGCTGGATGCCCAAAATCAAGATGTCAGAAAGATTGTCCTCTCTCTGGAGGTTCCAGGGAAGAACTCCTGCCTGCCTTTTCCTGGCTCCTAGTGGCAACTGGCAGTCCCTGTGTCCCTTGGCTTGTCTCTGCATCACTCATGGCATGATTCCATCTCCACGTGGCCCCCCTCTTTGTGTCTTCTCCTTTTCTTATAAGCACACCAGCCATTGAATTTAGGATCCACTCTAATCTGGTATGATCTCATTTTAGCTTAACTAATTACATCCATAAAGAACCCATTTCCAAATAAAGGCCCTTTCTGAAGTTCCAGTGGAAATGAAATTTGGGGGGACAGTTTTCAACAGACTACAAGTGGAATTCATTCTGAGGCTGGTTTCATTATTGATTACTCTGACGCTTTGTGCATTGCAGAAGCAACAAGATCCATGTGTCTATCCATCTTACAGGCAATCCAGGGCCTCCAACACATTTTACTGGGCCCCCAGACCTTAAACTGGTCCCAAATAAAATGGACAGGTGGAGTAAGGCTCCAGTGGTCCTGTTTCTGCTTCCATCCCGAGACCTATGATGGCCAAGGTGAAGCTTGGCCTTTTATGGTGACTCTTGGGCTTTCATGCTCCTCTGTGGCTACCTGAAGTCTCATCTTTATTAAGCCAGAATCTGGTTGGCATATTTCGCACCTTGTTTGCCACCCTTGCGCTAGGTATGGCCCCTAACCTTTGACACTTCAGCCTCTTCTTTAGCAGAACTGGAAGGGGAAAGAAATTAACACATCCCATTATTAAATGTGTCAGGTGCTTATTGCACATTCAAAAACTGTTGCCAGTTACAGCTCAAATTTTTAAAACAGCAAGATGATTAAGCTCATTAAATACTGAGGAAGCAGGTACTCCGAAAGGTTACAAAATATGCCTAAAACCACACGACCAATAAGAGATGGAGACATGATTTGAATTCAAGTCTGTTTGATTTCAAAGTTCATGTTCTTTCTACTAAAAATTAGTAGACCTCCAGTGACTGAACACTGGTGTAAATCAACTGCCACCTCATTTTATCTCTAGGTTTTCCTTACTTCTGTGAGCCAATCTTGGGTGGCAGAAAAGGACGCTACATAAATTTAATGTTTTGATGTTGAAACATGCTCCATTTAAACCTAGAGGTATATAGAGTAGACTTCAGTTCAAATAAAAATTAATTAAAAGCAGTTCCAAAAGTAATAAAGAGGTACAAAGCTAGTCTGAAATTAATCAATAAATAACTCCTATAACTCAAATTTGCCCCAGGTCTCACCAGTCTGTGGGTACCAATTAGGTTACAATGAAATCAGTACCACAATTTTGAGGGATTATTGCCCACATCTTGGTGACACGGGGTCTGCAAAATATCCCCCATAAGTATCTGTGGAAGTCAGCAGATGTCTTGCGTATTTTCTATTGGCACTGCTACTGCTCCAGTAGAATCCTCTTGGTGTTGCCACATAGACAAGTCATTTCAACACTTCTGAGCACCATGTTCTTCTGCTCCTCTGGGCACCACCATCATTGTCTTTGAGCCTTTATAGTACTCTATTTCTTGCAGAATTTGTAGAAACCCTCACTTTCATTATACTGCAAGTCTAAGGAGGGTATCGGTTTTGTAGAAAACTTACTCCCACCACCAGAGAACAAATGAAACATCAGTATTACCTGACTGTGAGAGTGCATCGTCATTACAATACAGGGATTGGACACACACAATGAACGCACATTTCAACACACAGGTTTATGTACTTGGCACTTGTTTAACAACACACCCAACCATAGCTGTGAGTTACAAAACTAGAACTAACTCCTGCAGCAAACAGGCAGTTTCTGTCTCAGACATGCTTTTCTCCAGTTACTACTTGATGGGTGGTTCATTCATTTGTCCCTTTTTATGTGTAGATATTGCTTCTCCAATCTCCAGGGAAGTTTCTAAAGATTAAACTTTCTTTCCAGAAGGAATTCATTAAGTAATAATAACTTACAAAATTTAAAATTTTGTGGCGTATTATAAGATAAGGTCAAAGTAAATCCAATTAAACATAACAGATGTGTCTTAATGCTTGTCAAGAGAAAGCATTCAGAGCAAAGAATTGTTGTTGGTGAAGGGTACAAAGACATAATACATATGACCCTTGCTCTCAAGAATATCACTCTGACTTTCCAAGATCATTATATTCGAATACAATGTACATCAACTTTTCTACAAGACCCTCTAGTCTTATTCTGTCTCATTACATTCCTAGTTCTTTTTCTTGTTTCATCCAGTTTCTCCTGTCTTAAAGTCTTTTCTGTTCTGTTCACCTCTTGGCCTTCTTTGGAGGCCAAGTTCCATATTCTCCATAGGATCTTCCTGACTTCTGCACTGAGACTCAATCTCTCTGCTACTGGTGATGAACACCGGAAACATCTACCAGGTGGCACTGGCCTGTGCTACCTTCAATTATTAGGGATATGATTCATCTCACTGAAAAAATAGTAGACTCCCCTGGGGTGGAAATCATCTCTAAATCATCTGATTTCCCCAAAGTTAATCCACAAAAAGATCTTAGTAAAACATAATGAAGATGATGTTGTCAGGTCGGGAAATCTTAGATAAACTGAGATGTGGGATCTCGTTTCAAAAAAGAGGGATATGGTTTCAAAAAAACAAAGAGGTAAAGCAAGAAAATTAAGTTTGGGGGAAATAATAGGGGTTTGAACAAAAGCCTGGAAATGAGAAGAAAACTAGATGTGTACAGGAAAGTTGATGGATGGCGATCAGGCTGGAGAAATGGTGTCATGCTAGGGAGCAATGGGGGAAATTTTTCTGTTAAATAGCATGTGGTCAAATTATTGATGTCTTAAAATCCAGAAAGAGGGAATCACACTTGGTATATTGGGGCCAGATGGCACAGAAGTGTCATCTCAGGTTCCAGTTCAAGTGGATAGGTAATTGTAACCAGGATCTGGGGTAAGCAGGATTTTGACATCATATCTGTGTTCACCTGAAAAGAAGGTCGTGAATTATTTGTGATAATAATTAATGATAATTACCGTAGGTTCAGGGTTGGGGAACTGGAGCAAGCGTGTTCCACGCTGCCATCTCTGTCATGATGA